AGCCTGAATTTTGTTGTGACGATGTTACCTCGCTATGATGATGTCCGTCATATGACGGACGAAAGCTTAGCATCTTTTCAACGGAATCGAAGGAGATTACCTCGGAAACAGCGTCGGCATGAATCTTCCAGTAAAGCCAATTGACAGCTGGTCAAGAGGAATCCGCCGTCTTCTGGTGGAATTGATCTTCGAATCTCTTCACTTTCACTCGAAATGGAAGTAAGCTCAACAATATAATTCGTATGACTTCAATTTGGAACAACTTACACAACAGCTATCAATCTGTCCTGTTCATTCAGAAAATTGAGCATAATAAAGATTAATACCGGTTTACATCTTTCGAGCCGAACTCCGCAATATTTAACTATATACTAGCTAAATTTAACTAATCATTCCATTCGATCTTTGTCTATATCCACCACATTAATACCCATGGCATACAAACCCTCATAGATGCATCTGCACATCGTTCTCGAAATTGCCAGTCAGAGGCCAATTATATTCACATAAGTATGTTTCGAAATAGGCTCTTGAACTAGTATTAACTTGTTTATTTTATGTCCAAATTCCATCGGGTCTAGGCAAAGTCGGAAACTGCAGCCAGAGCTATGAGTTTTGAGTAGTTTGCGAGACTACAGGTAAATCAGATCTATGAGTTATTTTCAATCTATTTAGTTTAATGTGATGAAGGACTGGTAGTAGAATTTTCCCACAATGATATGATATGGCGTTTCCATTGAATTTCTCATAGCCTTGCTCTTCTAAAAGGTGTTCTCATCCTAGGCGAGGTCGAAACTGCAGTCCACACTGGATGAGAACACCTTTTAAAAAGCAAGGCTATGTGAAATTCAAGGGAAACGCCAGCGCTATTCATATCACTGTGGGAAAAATCAACTACCAGTCCTTAATCACCTTAAACGGAAGTGAGCACAACTCATATGCTTGAAATATATGTCAGTGAAATCCAATGGCAAGGCCAGATTTTTTCTCCACTTCTCAACAAAATGTTCAATGGTCAGTTTTTGTATCACTGAAGCCAAAATTGAACTACTTCCTAAATTACAATCTTAGGCCTTATAGTCTAGACCCCTCCATACAGTTTCGTTGCGTCTGAAGCAATTAGTCGCCTGGGAAAGGAAACAATCCGGAAGGCACAGACGCAAAACAACAGGCATAGATTTTAGCATAAATAATCTGTGATAATTTTGTTGTAAGCAACTTCTTGCATGGATAAAGCTTGATAAGAAAGTTGTTTGACCTTGTTTTCGCAACATGGTCATATTGGTAGGAAGACTTATTGGAACGCACCTAGTCC